TATCTTTGTATCCTTATAGCCTAGCACAGTGCCTAGTGCATAGTAGGTGTTTAATAAAAGCTTGTCGATGGATAGATAGATCAATTAAAATGTACTTTAAAAAATCCCTCACTCAAACACGCATTTGATTTTAACTTGCATGTTGGACCATTCTAAGGACCACTTGCAGGGCTGAGGGTGAGGTCTAAAGGCCCCATTTTGAAAGCCATCGATTTCAACAGCCCAGCCTGGGAGGGACTATCCCCCTTCTCCATCTGGATAGAGCTGCAGCTTGTCTGCTTTTGTGTCTCTTCCTTAATGTTATGTACATGCTCTCCATGTACAGGCCTCTACAAACTCCCCCGACGATGGGGACATTCTCTGCATACATTAGCACTAATGTATTCTCTCTTGAATACTCATCATATTAAGACTCCTGGTAGATACCTTCCTTGAAATAAATTTTATGTGCATACATCCTAGGTACTTACCCCCATGCATTTGTATATGGGAAGAGGAATCTCACTAAATCTCTCCCTTCGAGAAGAAGCAAAATAGCAATAATTATATATGTATATATGCTGGATTCTAGTATTCCCTTGTCAGAAAGTTATGTTGGGAGAGTGGCCCTGTTCCCCTGGTGAACCAGGGTGAGTAATTAACTCTTTTAGGGCACCAAGGGGCCATTTAGTAAATTACCCTTCCCAGGGCACTCAGGGATGCCCCCAAAGAGTTAATTCATCTATCTGGGGGAGGGCTGTGCTCATAGGGAGAATTTTAGTTACCCTGTCTCATCCAGAGGCTCAAGCTTATTATGGATATCAAGTCAGCATTTGTACTTAGACTGCTCCAGCAGAGTCTAATGTCTCTAGGGTAAGCCCCCGGCTGTGGGGGTGGGGTGGTGTTGGGGGTGGAGGCTTGAAGAGCCATGGGAGTATATACTCCTTACTGCATTGAAGTGCTCCCAGTAGGAAAGTTGAGAAAATGTATTTCCCTCCTATCTTTGTAGAGATGGGGGACTATAGATTTGGTCTATTGTATATTCTGTTGGACACAGGCAATGTGTTGATTAGTTTTGCTGAGTTACTTTCTTTCTTTCTTTTTTATTCTTTGTTATAATGGATAGTTTGCAAGGCAAGGGGAAATGGAGGGGATGCTTGGAAATGAGGATCATGTGAATGCAAAAGACACTTTAAAAATGACTTCACAGGAAAAAATACATACACATTTAGGAATATATATACTCATATATGTAAGCATATATATATACATATGTGTATATGTATATATGTATGCACATGCATATACAGACTCTGTGTGTGTGTGTGTGTATGTATAATTTTGCTTATGGGGGGACTCCATGCTCTGCTTGAGATTTCAGTAGCAGAGATACTGCTGGCGGATCATGAAAGTAAAATCTCCAAGACATCACTCAATAATAGAAGGTTAAAGCCGGAAGGGGTCAGAGATCATTTAGACCAGCCCTGTCATTCTGGTTTTGCCTTTGACCCCTATTGGACCCCTTCAAATTTTTCCCTTCAAACCTTGTTCCCCACCTCCCCTCCAAACAGGGCTCCACAATTGGGAATTTTCTCATCGTGACCTTGTCCTGCCACGAGCCTCTTGCCCACCCCACCCATTTCTGCTGCTCTACCCACCCCGAACACCCCTGCCGCTCCCCCCCCCACTTTTCTTCCACTGGTAGGCGCTAAAGCTCAACTCACTAGCTCCTATTAATTGGTATCTAGCTGGGCTCCTTGCCACTCTTTGGCTGATCCCTGAAATCGGCACACTCCCTATATTTGGGTTTTAATCAACACAAGGATTTAAAAGAACAAAGAGAGGATTTACAAAATGACAGGTATCTTCAAAGCTAACCTTGTTCCTTCCAGGCAAATGTATGGGCAACAGAGGCCTTCTTTCCTAGCTGTCCCCCATTTGGTGGACCAAACACCTTTTTTCTTTATCTTATCTCCATAGTTAACTAATCTCAGTGTGTCTGACCCAGATCCTGGATCACTGAGTGTTACTCAGTGTTCTGGCTGAGGTAGATTTTGTTTGGCAAAATTACTAAGTCAGAGGGTCAGAGGGTTTAGAGTTGTGTTCTTCTAGAATCTTTTTCTAGACCATCTTCTAGAATATTCTTCCTGACCATCTGTAGGAGACCCAGTCGTATAGGAAGCACATCTCTCTGAGTCCTCCTCTGAGTTTAAGATATAAGGACATTGAACTCATCTCCTTTATGCTCTATCTTAAGGGCTCTGGGCTCATTGAAGTTCCTCTTTCCTTTATCTACATTCCAAAGTTTATATTTCCAAAGACTAGGTCAAGTACTATATCCTCATTAAGCCTTCACTTATCACTCTAGTCCACAGTATATTCAGAGTTATAACTAGGGCTAGGTGATCAGGGCTTTGTACCAGGACATTAACATTTAGACAGTGCTGATAGCACCTGTAGTCTTTTGGAAGTTCAGAAACAACTGAGCTTAGAACTTAGCAAGAATAATGAAATTAAAATAGGAAGCGTGAGTTTTCTCTCCCAGTAGCCACAACCTATGTGAACTGCTCTCCAGTCACATTTTTGTCCCGCTCTTTCACACCAACAGTGTCCTTGAGGTATCCCAGTATCTATGGCACTACCTTCCCATTTTACCTGTATTGAGGATGTATTTCAGCCTGCTTATTGTTCCTCACACTTAATACTTCATTTCCCATCCCCATACCTTTGCATTGACTGTCCCTCAAGCCTAGAGCATCCTCCAATTCTGGTTTGTTTGTTTGTTTGTTTGTTTGTTTTTGGCAAGGCAATGTAGTGAAGTGACTTGCCCAGGGTCACACAGCTAGTAAGTGTCAAGTGTCTGAGGCCAGATTTGAACTCGGGTCTTCCTGAATCCAGGGCCGATGCTTTATCCACTGCACTATCTAGCTGCCCCCTGAGCATCTTCCAATTCTTACTGGTTTCCCTGGCTGCCTTCAAGATTCAAGTCAAATGTCATCTTCAACAAGCCTTTCCTGGTCTCCCCAGTGGCTAGTGCCTTCTTTTCTAAGGTACTTTCTTTTCTATGCCGTCGGCCATGCGTGTGTCATGTATATACTTACTGTGTACCTATGATCTCTCTCATTAGAATGGAAGAAGGTAGGGGCTGTTTTTGTTTCGTCTCTTTATCCCCAACACAAAGTACAGTGCCTGGTGGACAGTAAAGCATTACTAAATGCTTGTGGAGTGAGTGACCCAGCTACGAAAATGACCAGTTATGGCTCCGAGTAGAATGTAAAGGTATAGTGGATGGTGAGTCTTGGCTCAGCCCTATGACCTTAATTCAGCCTCTACTTCACAGAATCTTAGAGCTAGAAGGAACTTCAGAGACCGTGGAGTTAACCCCCCACCAAAACAGGAACCGCTCTGGGTAGTGGTCTTCAGCCCGTTGGCTTGAAAGGCGTCATACTGAGGCCGGTTCTCAGAGGACGGGCCATCATCAAGACTTACCAGAGAGGCAGAACCTGAAAGAATTTGAGCGCCACTGGAGCATAACGTCCTTTGAGACCCCAGAACCATCCTGAGACAGGACGAGACATCGGACTGACACTGCAGGACTGTTCTGTTGATTAATATAATGGGGGCAATGTGGATGGGTTTCATATGAGGGTTAAGGTGAACTTTATGGTGTTCACTGGTATTGTAGAGTTATGTGACACAGGCAGTCAAAATGAGTAAGGTTTTAAAATGAATTCATAGAAGGGAAGTCAAAGGCCCACAGAAGCAATTAGCTCTATCAAGACCTAGTACCCAGTAGGTGCTTAATACCCACTTGGTAAATTGAATGAGGTCCTGGCAGTGTCAGGGGGATATTGTCAGCTGGCGAATCTTTTCCCTTTGTTAGGTTGACTTTCAGGTCTGATGACTTTGGGAGCACAGAAATAAGAGAGTGGAAGTGGCGGTGATTTTTCTTCTCATTTTTCCTCACAACCATTGAAAGATGATTCTTTTTGCATGACTCCAGCCAAACTCAGTGGCTGATTCTTTTTGAATCAGAAAGACATCTAGACAGGCTTGTAGAAAGACAGGCCTTGGATAACGGGCAGGGGCAGAGAGAGCCATGCTGTTGCTGTGTCTACCCAAGAGCTCCAGAGATGCCATAGCCTCCTCCCAGATCTCTATCCCATAGCAAATATCCCTTGTCTTTATTGTTCATGTGACTTCTGAGGCCATGGCCTTAATCTGGCATCTGTCATTTTAGGACAAGCAGAGGATAATTCTGGCTAATGATGGAAATCATAGGCAAGTAAGGTGGGGATATATATATATATATATTGTCTTGGGACTTCCTGAACCCATTGCCAGATACTAACTAGGAATTGTGGAATACAGGGCAAATTCAGTTGAACATTGTGGGTGGATGAAGACAGTCTATCTTGTAAAGAACAGTTGTGCACGCAGAGAGACAGTGCACACCCCAGAAAGTCCAGCCTGGGACCACATGACACAACACATGATTTTCGGTCCCCAAACATGGGGAAAAGTCAAGGGTTGGAGGGAAGAGGTAAGGAAAGCCCTGGGGAAGGGGTGCAATGCTGATAGAACCTTGGCGGGGTGGCCTGGACCTGGACAAGGGACCTAGTATGATTATTCCCCATCATGCAGAACCAGTGGAGGACCCTGAGATTCAGAGATAGTGGACCAGAGGAACATTGACAGAGAAAAACCATGTGCCCACCCCAACCCCTACCCCACCCCTGTCAGTCACCCTCAGCACCCTTCCCAGCTTCCCTGTCATAGTTATGGCTCTACTGAACCAGAATGGAAATGGACAAATGGCATATAATTGATTTCGCTGTAACACAGTATGGGTCATTTCCCTTGCTACCTTAGTTTTCTCTCTAGAAGAGCAGAGTAGAATGGAATCCAAAGTCAAAGTGTTTCTGTTTGCCTGCTGACTGGTCATGCACAAGGCTGACACTGCTCTTTCTTCTCTCTCTCTCCTCTCCTTCCATCCTCTCTGCCACCTCTTGCCTCCTCAGAGATCCCTCAGTGTGCCGGCTGCAATCAGCACATCTTGGATAAGTTCATCCTCAAAGTCTTAGACAGGCATTGGCACGGCTCCTGTCTTAAGTGTGCAGACTGCCAGATGCAGCTGGCCGACAGGTGCTTCTCCAGAGCGGGGAGTGTCTACTGCAAAGAAGACTTCTTCAAGTAAGTTAAAAAAAAATAAAAAAATCAATGTCTCTCTTTGCTCAGTGCTGAGGACTACTCATCCAGGGGCTGTGGGGCAATTTGCCCCATTGTAATGCATCTTTGAGAGAAACCCCTGGTGGTTGTGATAGCAAAATAACTAAAACCAGGGCACAGCCATTGAGCCTCACCATTCACCATCACCATCACCATCACCGTCATCATCGCTGTCACCATCACCATCACTGTCATCATCACTGTCACCATCACCATTGCCATCATGGGAATTGTTTTTCAGACAAATTGACTTTGGGGAAATTGTCTTACCCCTCTCGTCTACTCTCAGGTTTTGGCCAGAATATTTGTTTCTCCTTAAAGATGGCAGGATAGAAAAAGGATTGGCCCCTCACATATATGGTCTTAGTTCATTTTTAAGCTATCAAGACCTAGTACCCAGTAGGTGCTTAATATACATTTGTTGAATCAAATAAGGTCCTGGCTGTGTCAGTTAGATATTGTAAGTTGGCAAATCTTTTAGCTTGGTTGGTTTGACTTTTAGGTCAACCTAAGATTTTTTCTGAGACACTCTGTACAGCACTGTAAAGATTGCAAAGTGCTTTTTGACCTTCACAACAGTCCTCTGAGTTGGGGGACTACCGATATTATTCCCCATTTACAGATGAGGAAAGTGAGGCATAAGAATGGCGGACTATGTTTAATCAGGGAAGGCTTCGTGAAGGAGACAAGAAGTTGTCTAATAATTCAGACATGAGAATGTCCCTGGGCAGGGTGTAGATATCTGAATGACTGATTGCATTTTTCAGGTTTCATTCAGATGTTTGGCATTGTGTGGAAACATCTTCTAATCAAAACAAGCTCAGCCCAAGATAGAAGGACCTGGACATGAGATGGGGGTGGGAGGGTAAGTGGAGGTGGAGATAGAAATTCTTTTTTAGAACTTCTTTTCTTCCAGAACTTCTCTTTTTAAATCCAAGTATTTAGAGAAGCAAATTCTGCAAGCAATGACGACGCTGAGGATTTGATCCTTCTTAGAGTCTCAGATTTTTTAAGGCCAGTTTGAGTTTTGAGAGGTTATTTGAGAGGTTGTTTGCCTGGGCTTCATCTACAGCATCTGTCCAGATGAAAACCAGAGGGTGGAGGATGGTGCAGGGCTATGCCTGCCGTCCATTTGGTCACCCAATCAGATACCGACTGCCTCGTGCTCATCTCTGTTTCCTGTGAGGGAGTCTGGCCTCCCCATACAGATCAGAGTGTTGCTTAAGACCCAAGACTTCATCTTCTGCCTTTTGTGGAATCCCTCTTGGGCCCAGGCTCAGGAAGTGTTTGTGGACTTGAAGTAGAAGACGAACTTCCAGCTTCTTCCTCTCCTGCTTTTTGTAGTCTTGCTGCTCCCTCTTCTTCCTCACCTATGTCCCTTTCCCCTGTTTTTCCCCCTTTTCCTGGTGTTCACTTGGATGCTGTTAATTGACCCTCCTTACTTCATACTTTTGCCCACATTCTTTCTCCTTACCCCAAGCCAGTAGACCCCTGCTCCATGCCAGCTCTCATGGGCTTCTTGAATGAGGCAAATCCCATTGGTTCTCATTGCTGACTTTAGGCCAAGTCAACAGAAGCTTAGGGAAGACAAAGTCGTGTGTGTGTCTGTGTGTGTGTGTGTGTGTGTGTGTGTGTGT